TGCCCGCAGCCTTCTCTTCTCCAGGCTGAACACCCCCAACTCTCCCAGCCTGGCCTCCTAGCAGAGGGGCTCCAGCCCTCGGATCATTTTAGTAGCCCTCCTCTGGCCCCGCTCCAACAGCTCCATGTCCTCCTTGTGCTGAGGGCTCCAAATCATTGGTACTTTCGGACCACACAACAGTAAATGTCATCACTAGTTTTGTTTCAATGGTAAATAACAACCATAATAATAAATAATAATAATAAAAAAAGACAGAGGTACCACCGTCACAGAAAAAGAGCCCAGCCTCGTTTAATCACCACCTACAAACGAGACAAATAAAAGAGAAACAGGGCCTAGTGTATAAAAGCCTTTTCCTCCACTTGCTCCCAACCCCCTGCCCCCCGTCTCACCCAGGCCCAGTTTTACCAGCGCTAAGTTTTAGCGCATCGTTGCAAGCGCATCAACCGCTATGTCACGACTACAACTCAGCCGGGTATTATTCAGTACAAGACAGGAAAAAAGGAGGAAAAAAATACTTAAAATAGATCCCTGTCTCAATTTCCTTACAGATGTTTGCCGTGTTGTGCCATAAAAAAAAGCATCTAAAGCAAACCAGCTCTACAAAAGCTCCTGCGCTTGGGTCAGCGGCGTATGTACAGGTTAAAACCAGAACAATACAAAAAGTATTCCCGGAGCAAAGGCAATATGTGATACTTTATGTTCAAAAAGTGTAAAAATTAGGAAATAATGCATAGAAGAGAGGGCTTCGCAGGCCCCGCAGCAACGGCTGCAGCAGCAAATCCTTGCGGCGTGGGCCGAGTTTACACCAGAGCCCGCCAAGGACCACTCATTGCCTGCAGAATTCGCTGGTGATGTTGGGAAGGGGGTAGGCAAAGAGGGAGAAATCCAGGATGTACTTTGTTAACAGCTCTTTTATCAGCCGGCGCTGGGTGTTGCACAGGTAGTAATGGAGCGTTTCTGCCGTCACGGGCTTGTACCACGACTGCCGTTCGGGGAAGCGGATGAAGGAGGGCGACTGGACTCGCTCGAGGACGTAGTTGGCGTCCGCGTTCAGCCGCTCGTAGGAGCCGATGAAGTCGTACCTGACGGCGCAGGGCTGGCACAGGTTGTAGATGGGCATCCAGTGCTCGTTCATCCTCTCCACCTCCTCGTCCAGCAGGTACCGGAGAAACTCGGAGAAGGTGACATCGTCGCCCGCCGAATTCCCCCCGTTCTTCCGATACCGCCTGACGATCTCCACCCCGTACTTCTGCTGGTACTCCTTAATCTCCCCAAATTTGTTCCGGTAGGCCGAGAGCAGCCTCTCCATGGGGTTCCGCACGAAGATGAACTTGTAGTAGTTCTTCAGGCGGTAGCTGATCTCGGCCGGCTCCATGTCCCCCAGGAACACCAGGTCGCTCTTGTGGTCCATCTTCAGCTTGACGTCGACGCTCTCCAGCGCCCCGTCCAGCACCTTCAGGATGCGCTTCCAGTTGGAGCAGCCTACC